CCCACACAAGTAGGCGCCTATCAACATGCGCCGCCTCACTCCTTACTGACAGCTACCTAGCCCAAATTCAAGCGTTTGAAACGAGGACATCGAGACGAAGATGATAGGGGCCCCGAGCGACGCGGCTTGGAAGACATGTTTTCGGACGAGGACGAGGAGGCCAACGAACAAAGACACTACGGCCGAGCGAATTACCGCTCCCAAGCTGACGAATTCGATGACTTTATTGAAGAGGACTTCCCCGAGGACGAGGACGAGCGAGCGCGTCAACTCGAAGATGCAGAAGTGGCCCGGCCGCGCGACAAGGGCGTGGGCGGTGTCGTGGACACTACTGGCCTTGATAAGGACGCTTTGGAGGACATGGAAGCCATTTTCGGTAACGGCGAGGACTATGACTGGGCTCTGCAGATGGAAGATGAAGAAGAGGATCGTGAGCGTGAAGAGCAAACCATCGAGCTTAAGGACGTCTTCGAGCCGTCTCAGCTGAAGGAAAAGTTGCTCACCGATGAGGACAACCAAATCCGATTCACCGACGAGCCCGAAAGGTTCCAGCTGGACCGAAAGCCATTCAAGCATCTGCAAATAACTGCAGAGCAATTCAAGGAGGAAGCCAGGTGGATCGCAGCTTTGATGTGGCCCAAAAAGCTTCTCCAGTCTGAACTTCATTCGCCCTTCACCAAGGCTATCGGCAAAGTTCTTGAGTTCTTCGTCGTTGACGACGTTGAAGTGCCGTACGTTTTCCAACACCGCAAGGACTACTTGATTCACGCCAAGAAAACGAAGAACCCCGACCATCGCGATGATCCCGACGCCCCTGAGTACATCGTCAGCGCCGACAAGCTGCTCACTCAGGACGACTTGTGGCGCATCCTCGAGCTTGACATCAAGTTTCGCTCTCTTATTGAGAAGCGGAACTCGTTGGAGAAGACATTTGAGAGCCTAAAGGAGTCGGCCAACATTAACGATGATGTCCTGACAGACATGATTTCCCAGGCTGCCACCATGGAGGAGCTGCAGGACCTCCAGGACTACCTCCACTTCCAGTACATGGCCGAGCTGAAGGACCTGTCTTCAATCAACGGCAACGGTAATCAGATGAAGCGTCCGGGCTCAAAGTCGAATTTGTTTGACCGCATTCGCAGAAGCAAAGCAGCCGGCTTTGTCCGCGCTTATGGCATCACCCCTGACCGTTTCGCGCAAAATACTCTTCGAGAGGGCAACAAAGTCTTTGCTGATGATCCCAGCCAACTCCCCGATGACCTCGCTGACTCGCTCACCGATGAGGACTTCCAGACTGGCGATTCCGTTGTAAACGCTGCTCGCCAAATGTATGCGGAAGAATTATTCGCCAACCCCCGCATGCGGAAACACTTCAGGATCAACTTCTACCAGATGGGCGAGATAAACTGTCGTCGAACGGAAAAGGGTCTGAAGAAGATCGACGAGTCGCATCCGTTCTACGAAGTCAAGTATCTCATCAACCAGACAATTGCCGATGTTGCTCGACAGCCTGAACTCTACCTCAAGATGATGAAGGCCGAGGAAGAGGGCCTCATTGAGGTCAAGTTGACTTTGGAGAATGAGGACGGCTTCAAGCGCCAATTACGCCAAGAATTTATCTCGGACAACTACAGCGAAATTGCTGATCGGTGGAATGAGGAACGTCAAAAAGTGCTTGACATTGTTGTTCCCCGCCTTTCAAAGATCATCGCCAAGGGTGTCAAGGAGTCACTCCGTACAGCGTGTCAAGAGGAGGTGCTCAAGTCTTGCCGCGAAGAGTACGCTAAGAGACTCGATCAAGCACCTTACAAACCCAAGGGCATGATTCTCGGCACCGTGCCTCGAATCATCACGTTGTCCAACGGTATGGGAGATCCCGCTCGAGATGCCACTTCATGGGTCTCAGTCGAGGAGGATGGTCGCGTCATCGAACAGGGCAAGCTTGGCAATCTCGCGCGTGATGAAGCTACCCGTGCGGAATTTGTTGACATCGTCAACAGACGCCGCCCCGATGCCATCGGTGTCAGTGGCTTTTCCGCAGACACTCAGAAGCTTGTTAGAGATTTGGAGTCTTTGATCAACGAAAAGGGCCTGATGGGTCCTGAATTCGACGATCCTGAGCTTGGCGAATACAGGACCGAGCCCCTCGAAGTCATCATCGTCAACGACGAAGTTGCACGTCTGTACAAGGACAGTCCGCGAGCAGTAGCTGAACACCCGACCCTTAGCCCTCTCACGAGATACTGCATCGCTCTGGCGCATTATATGCAGAACCCGCTGAAGGAATACGCTGCCCTAGGCAAGGACATTGCGTCGTTGGCTTTCCACCCTTGTCAGAACCTTCTGCCCCAAGAAAAGCTACTCAAACATCTGGAGTCAGCGATGGTCGACATGGTGAACCTGTGTGGCGTGAACATTAACGAGGCCATCGGCGATTCATACACGGCTAATTTGCTGCCTTACGTTGCTGGCCTTGGCCCGCGCAAGGCTACCAGTGTCATTAAGGCTATCAACGCGAATGGCGGATCTGTCAGCAGCAGAGACGAGCTGGTCGGTGATCCGGACAGCGGAAAACTGCCAGTCGTGGGCCCTAGAGTATGGAACAACTGCGCCAGTTTCCTGTTCATTGACTACGATGCGACAAATCCAACCTCCGATCCCCTGGACAATACTCGTGTCCACCCCGAGGACTACGAACTTGGTCGCAAGATGGCGGCTGATGCTTTGGAACTCGATGAGGAAGACGTCAAGGCCGAGACAGACCATAACGGCCCCGGGGCCATTGTTCGCAAGCTTTTCAAGGAGGACGAACAGGAGAAGGTCAATGAGCTCATTTTGGAGGAGTATGCTGAGCAGCTGGAGCGAAACTACAGTCAAAGGAAGCGCGCGACCCTCGAGACCATCCGAGCCGAATTGCAAGCGCCGTACGAAGAACTCCGACGCAACTTCGCCGCACTTGGCGCGAACGAGATTTTCACAATGTTTACTGGCGAGACGAAGGACACGCTTGCTCAGGGCATGATCATTCCGGTGAACGTTCGGGTTGTGAAGGACGACTTTGCGATTGTGAAACTCGACTGCGGTATTGAGGGTCGCATCGAGTCGCACGATGGCCCCGACGGCGTACGGGTAAGAGGCATTCTCTCGACGGGGCAGACGATACAAGCCAAGGTCCTCGATGTGAATTACAAGGACTTTATTGCCAAGCTCTCCGCCCGCGATGCCGAAGTCAAGCGCCCGTACAAGCGGCAGCTCTACCACGGTCATGGACAGTGGGATGACAGACTCGAGGCAGCCGATAAGGAAGAGCTGCGCGAGAAGGATAAGACCACGGGTCGCACTCAGAGAGTCATCAAGCACCCCATGTTCAAGCCTTTCAATGGTTTAGAGGCAGAGCAATGGCTTGGTACTCAGCCAGCCGGAGAAGTCATCATCCGTCCCTCTTCCAAGGGCAACGATCATCTTGCTATTACCTGGAAGGTCGCCGACGGTGTCTTCCAGCATGTTGATGTCTTGGAATTGCAAAAAGATAATGAGTTCTCGGTCGGCAAGCTGCTCAAGGTGGGCGGGAAGTTCACCTACAAGGATCTTGACGAACTGATCCACGAGCACATCGAGGCCATGTCTAGAAAGGTGGACGAGATGATGCAGCACGAAAAGTTCGAGAAGCGCTCCAAGCCAGACCTCGGTAAGTTGACCTGGAGTTCTTCTGACAAGTTGTCGATCAAAGCTAACAATGTTTGCAGAGAAATGGCTCACAACGTACATTGACGCCAACCCCAACCGCTCCGCCTATGCTTTCTGCATCGACACCAAGCACCCTGGCTACTTCTGGCTCTGCTTCAAGGCCAGCCGTTCGTCGCGAGTCAACTCCTGGCCTGTCCGTGTCATTCCCGGTGGCTTCGAGTTGTTGAAGCAGGCCTACCCCGACATGAGAGCGCTCTGCAACGGCTTCAAGATTCGGTACCAGACTGAGATCACCAAGATGCAGAAGGGCGGTAGATAGGTTCCCCCCTCCGAGTCGAGGGATTACAGAAGAGGCGTTGCGAACATCGGCAGCTACTACTGAGACTGATGATGATGGGCGAGGCACTCGGTGATGAGAAAGTTACTGCAGTTGGGATGTGAGAAGTCGCCTGCGCCCGAGCCGACGATGGCGGCTATTTGTTTATTCTATTATTTTCCAGGGCAATTCCGGAAACGTTGGGCGAGATGGGAAGGGGCCGAAGAGCGGAAGATCAAGATCAACCAGCATTCATGTAAAAGTATTACCTAAAAGCTCAGAAAGCTCAGGGCCATAGAGGAAAAAAAAAATATTGGCGTCTATTGATGAACATCCGTTTATGATCTGGCGTGAAGTACTCGAGGTGATCTCGCTCGCTGTGGAAAAGTTCGCATGTGCCGAATGCCTTGGGGTCCAACATGTCCCGTGCCTGTGGTCTTAGAACAGTGTAGGTAGGCATATGAGGAGATTACGTTCAAGCCTCAGCAACAGCGCCTGGAATAAATGGCCGTGAATTTGCCCAGTATTGTTATAAACACAAAGATCATGCTTATCCAGCGCCAGAGCCTTTGGATTCGAATCCCTTTTTGTCTCTTTTTTCACCCTTTCCGGTCTTTGTTTGGTTCCTCCCTCTCAAAGAAAGGGCCGAGATTGTGGGATATCTGCGAGAGCTCATCCCATGCAGCGCGCCCCACGAACATGACGATAATAGCCATGACAAGTGTTCAGAGAACCATGGTAAGTGAATGTTCAGGCGATGCAAGGGCGATGTAATCACTAGGCAAACGAAGAGAGGGAACGTTAGTGGCGAGCTCCAATCGTATTATTGAATAGAAAAGCTATCTTCTCCAGAAGCGAAATTCTATGTACATAATTTCTAAAATTTAGATTCTATGTGAAGCAGATTTGTGACAAAAGGAACGTAATGTGCCTCCAAACGAGACACTGACATGTCCACCTCCCTGTTTGTTTATCCAGGATTCTTATAATGACACCCTTACAGAACGAAGACGGCAAAAGCGCCGACCGCCATGAGGGCAAAGCTGACGCCAGCCTGGACGGCGTTGTTGGTGATGACGGGCTTCGTCGTCGTCGAGCAGCTGGCGCCGGAGCAGACCGTGGTGGAAGCGCCCGGGGCGGTGCCAGAGGCCTTGGCGCTGGATACGGTGGATGACTTGGTGACCGTGGTGGTGGAGTTGCTGTAAGTGTTGCTGTTGTTGCTCTTGTTCGTGTTGCTGCCGCCCGTGGTCTTGGCAGGAGCGGTGCTGACAGTGATGACCTTGGTGACCTTGGTCGCGGGGGTGGTCTTGGGGGTGGCCGGAACACCGGGGGTCGTGACCTTTGTGACGGTTTTGGTCGTGACGCTGCCGATGGGGCAGTTGGGAACGGAGGCAGGGCACTTGGTGATGGTGTAAGTCGTGGTGTAGACCTTGGTAGAGACCTTGTTGTTGCTGCCTCCGTTTGTCTTGGGCGTGGGACTGATGACCTTGGTGGTGACCTTCGTAGTCACGCTGCCGATAGGGCAGTTGGGGACGGAAGACGGGCACTTAGTGATGGTGTAGGTCTTGGTGAGGACGGTGGTCCTGACGCCAGGGGGGGTCGTCTTGGTGGTGGGCTTGGTGGTGTTTTTGTTGACCTTTGTGGTGGCCTTCGTGGTGTTGCTCTTGTTCACCTTGGTTGAAGCCTTGCCATTGCCCTTGGCGGAGGTAGTCTTGACCGCGACGGTGACAGGGCAAACGGTAGTGTAAAGGGCAATGGTCTTGGTCACGACGGCGCCGACTGGGCAGTTTGTGACGGTTGGGGCGCAAGAGGTCACAGTGGAAACCTGGGTGGTGAAGACTGTTGAGGTAGTCAACTGGACGACGGAGGACGAAGAGACAACGGGAGTAGGAGCGGGGATGACGGAAGTCTGATTCCAGTTGTTGGTGATGATCGAGAACGTGCTGGCGGTTCCAGAGACGGTACCAGTGCCGGCGTCGGTGACAGAGCCGGAAGCAGAGGCAGCAGCAGAAGAGACGGAAGCTCCGCTGGACCCGGCGCCGGATGCCTGGGAAGAAGCAGAAGCGGACGCGGAAGCGGAAGCGGAAGCAATGTCGGAGGAAGCAGAGCCAGGGGCAACAGCAGATCCGGAAGTAGCGGCAGAGCCAGAGGCTGTGGCAGAGCCTGAAGCGGCGGCAGATGAGACAGAGCCTGAGGCTTGAGCAGAGGCGGAGCCGCTGACCGAAGCAGACGCAGTGGCACTGGCACTAGCAGAATCGGTGGCAGAGAGGCTAGAAGCCGATGCGCTGGCGGAAGAAGACTGGCTGGCAGATGCGGAGGCGGAGGCGGAGGAAGAAGCGGACGAGGACGCCGTGGAAGAGACAGAGGAAGAGACAGTAGAGGAAGTCTGTCCGCCCTCCTTGAAGATGCGGATATCCTTGACCTTGAAGTAGGTGTCGCTGAAAGCCGATGGATTCGTAGCGGCGTAGGTAGAACAAACAGCATGGCCTGTGGCGGCCTTGCATTCGCTACCCCACACGCCATCATTTCCGGCAAGCACACCACACATGCCGATGTTAATGACGAGTCTCTGGTCCTTGAAGTGGCTGTTGATGTTGCAGGCATCGTTGGCGATCAGCATGCTGGGAGTGCCCCAGGTCGCGGTGTCAGGGGAGTCGGAGTTGACGTTGTCCGGAACCGAGCCCCATCGCCAGGAGAAGAACTTGATGTAATCGTCGGTCCACTCAACAGCGTAGACGCCGCCATCAGAGGAGCCGTAGGGGTCAGAGGAGGTGGTCGAGGTTGTGCAACCTTGGTTGGAATACTGGTTGGGCGCCTCCTGATCACAGTTGGGCGTGTCCACCTGGGCAGTCTGGCCAGTCGAGCTGATGAGGCACTGGCCTTGTTCCGAGGACTTGTAGGTGTGAGCGGCGGGCTTGTTGACCTTGTTAAGGTTCCAGCCTTCGAACCAATCGAGCTCTCCCTTGGTGGGCCAAGGCGAACCGTACGACCAGCTTTGCCAATGTCAGTGCCAATATTGACAACAGTGTAACCAACAGACTTACAAGGCAGGCCAAGCACCACAGACGGGCTTGGGCAAGTGGGAGAAGCGAGCGACAATCAGAGCCTTGTTGTAGACTTCCTTGCTCTCAAGTCTCACACTGGAACGACCAACACCAGGGAACTGGGTGATACTTTTGGCGTCGAGGCCCAGGTAGATCTCGCCACCGGCGGTGGACGCGAGACCCAGGGCTTGGGCATCCGCCTGGGAGCGGTAGTTGATGTAGCCCGAAGTTGGATCGACGTCGTTGTAGTTCGAGGTGTTGTAATTGCTCTCGAAGAAGGTGAACTTGCTGAAGAAGTTGGTCGAGTCGTACGTATCGGCCAGAGAAAACTTCTTGGCAGCAACATCACCAGCCAAGGCCAAGGCAGCAGTGCCGATGGTAACGAGCGAAGGGGCCATTTTGAGCGATATTAAGATTATTGAAACGAGAGACTAGGTATTAGGTGTCTTTAAAAACGAGTGACTTGACGAAAGATACGTCGTTGGACGAGCAAGGCGGCTCTGGGGGTTGCTGGACGGCACAGGAGTTGTCGAGGTGCTGCGTGAGGAGGGAAGGGAAAAGGAAACCCTTGTCGAGTGGACAAGGTGCCCTCTTATGAAGCCCTTGGTTGCACATCGCGAGTGTGTGGTTGAAAGTCCCTTTCTGCTGGTAAGTCGGGCACTTACACGCGGGCAGGGGGCACAGCGGCATCACGGCAAGCCAGCCTAGTGAGGGCTGGGCTTCTCCTGGAAGTGGTAGCTCGTCGATGGCCTAGCAAGTTCTCCAAAATCGGGAAGGGGTCGCTTGGTCGAGCGATTGAGCGCCCAGAAAGGAAAAGCCTATGTTGAATAAGGCCTCACGATAGCAGCTGGAAAGCACGCAAGAGTCCAATGATGGCGGCTTCGGAGCCAAGCGCCGTAAGGTCCGGGCACAAGTTCGGTGGAAGTTCCTTTCCTGCGGGTCAGGTCTGCGGGAAAGGGGCCCGGGAAATTGCGAAAAGGGCAATGATTGACAGCGATTGGAGGGATCCCGCGATGGCTGCCACGGGGCGCCGCGATATGTTGCCAGGGTCGGGAGTGTGTCGCCCGACGTGCTAACTGGAAGTGACCGTAGCGTCGTGACTATTCGAACGTGGTACGGAATGCAAGCCTTCAGCGACAGCCGCACCTAGTGGCGTTGCGGTTATCTGGTTGGAAAACCGTGACTCAGAACCACCCTCCCCTTTCCTACGACACGTTGTCTGGGTCGCCGGATGCACTTGTCAAGTTGGCGTGATGTCTAATGCAGGTACGTGATAACGGCGAGCAGAGGCAGGTGTTCGTCAGACATAGTTGCTGTTCTGGGCTGTGCCACATAAATCAATATTATCCCCCACGGCGTAGATAACCATGAGTCGTTCGAGGTACTTCCTGCGATCAATTTCCACTTGCTTCGACAGTTCTTTTCGACATACACATGCAATGCCAAGGTCATTGAGCCAGGACTCTTCAACGATCAATAGAGATATGACACATGAGGCTTCAGGTGAGAGATGGACGTCGATGAAGCCTTCCACCAGGTGGCTATTCTAGGAGAGCTGAAGGAGTAAGACGTCGGAGCGTCAACGCGGCTATCACCTGGCACCGTCACAGCGCTCAGAGAGGGAAGAAAATGGGCGAGTTTTGAACATATTGGTGGGATGGTGAAGAGTTTACTCCGTTGATGCTAAGTGAAAATCTCAGGTCGGCCACCAGCTTTGAGCTATGCCCAAATAGAGCCAACGCCGAGCCAAAAGGCTGCTTTAAGCCTTTAGACCCCAGTTCAACCACGACAACCCAAAAGCAATGGCATCGTGCCGGGGTTGTTAAATTACCAAGCTGTGGTCATGCGGCAAAGTATGCGAAAGTCGTGTATGCGGAGGGACTTTGGTCTCTGAACCTGCAGCAAAGCAGGCAGCAGCAACTAAGGAAATCTGGTTTTCGATCCTGTCGCACAAAACAGAATTTGCACTTGGCCCCCTCCCACGTCGAGTCGTGCAAGAAGCCGATGGCATGGGAGCGCCATCGCGTCCGGTAGACTGTTCACTAGAACCAACGGACGGAGCAGCGTGATACCACCGCCCGGCGCTAAAACAAGACTTGTTTGCCGAATGAGGGTGTTCGAAGCAAAATAGACGACGCACTTGCATTGGAATGGGATCGAGAAAACACTGCACCACGTACTATTCAGGAGGTTTGATTGACCGCCTAGGGCCTGGGATAAGCTAATGGGAGCTGAACCATACTCCTGGGTCTGCTTGAACAAAAGCCCAATTATTGGAAACGTCTGGACGAAATTTTCGATTTGCCGGCAAGCACGTGGCTTTGAGATGTTTCTGCCGAAGGGCATTAGACGGCGTGGTGGCCGCCAAACCGCCCTCCTTCCGTGACTATCTGAGCCTGTTGACCCTCTTTTTCGACTGGACTGAATACATGGCCGTCTTCTTCTTTTTCTCCTATTCGCGTCGGCTGCTTTTGGTAACATCTCCGTAGAGTGTTTGATGATTGGCCTAAAGGCGGTTTTGATTCGTATGATGGGCGCATGCGAACCTGCCTAGGCTGATGCACTTGTGACCTCTTGTTGGTATGATCAAGCCATCGCAATCTGGATTCAGTCAGTCTCATCCAACCAAGTGTTATGCGGGAAAGATTATGGGGATATCCTTCTTGATTTCAGACAAATTTGAGAAGATATGAATATAACGCGGTGTTTGTCGGCACTGCACCAACAGATCCAGGACAAGCCTTTCATTTCTAGGTGCTTCGCTGGCCCCGCGTGCGTCATCATGGTCAAGACGAAGTCATGAGAAATCGCATGTAACTTACATTATACAGGTGCTTAGAAGCAGGGGTATCTTTGTGTGGTTGGTTGCAAGAAAGGCCTTCCGCAGCGTCATGTCTCGGGCCTGAACTTGCCGCGCTTCTCCCTCATAGCGTCGACCTTCTTTCGGTCCTCATCAAATCTCTGCATCAGGGCAGCCTGCTCCGCTTTGCGACGCTCGCGCATCTGGAAGCGGTAGAAGTCGGTTGTCTCCGACTTCTTCTTGGCTGCCTTGTCCACCATCTTCTGTCGAGCCTCCTCGGCCTCGTTCTTGCTTGCCGGAGCAGCACGGCCGCCGCGAGTAACCGTAACGAAGCCATCTTCGTCCGGCTCGTTGCGTAACCTCTTGGCCATTTCCTGTGCCTCCTTCTCCTTGCGGTTGAAGACGTTGAAGAATGCGTGAACTGACTTCTGTGTCGCCACCTTGTCGCAGCGAGAGAGTTGCAGATGGGTCGAGATCCATTGCGATCCGAGCTCAGGTAGGTCTTCCGACACGCCCTCGCCCCAGACGGGATACTTCTTCGACTTGTTCGCCTTCTTGATCGCCTTCAACACGAGCTCGACACTCTTGTCATCGGCCAAAAGGACGATGGCGCTGCTGCCACTCTTTCGAAGCCTCCTCGTCCAAATATCCGGCAGCCGTGCCACTTCTTCCTCCTTCGCTCTTTCCTCCGCTTCCTGCTCGCCGCGCTTGCGCTTCTTGCCAAAGTTCGAGACTTTCACGGCCTGGGCTGGGTCAATGGCGGTCGCAGCTTTTCGCTCATCTTCGAATGCGATGCCCTCGAAGCGGCCGGGTCCAACCAGAGCGGCAAACACTTGGCGAAAATGGGCCTCGGTGCTGTCTACTGGTACATTCTTCAAGAACAGGCTTCGATCGTCGATCTCGGTAGGGATCTTGGGCGCGTTTCGTCGAACGCGGATTTCGTGTACGGCGTTGACCGGACAAGACGGAAGAGCGGGAATCTTGACGGGGAGGAGGACGAAGCCGTCTCCTTGAGACTCGGTTGATGGCATTTTGGCGATAGCGGGCGGGCCGAGCAACGTCAACGATATCTTGTCGTGTTCTCTACGGAGAATGCAAGCATAGCAGCTTCTAAAAATCTCAATCCACTGGGAAAAAGTTTAGGTGGGGCCGAGTCTTATCGATTGCTGCTGACTGGTCCGTGCGACTTTCTCGGTCAATCTCGGTCAAGCTCGGTGACCCCTCTGTATCAACGGCACCGATACAATCTGTGAACTCAGAGGAAGAAACACTGATTGAATCAATGGTGTCTGAAATAATGCGATTTGTTATGCATCATATCTCGATCGCTATTCTTCCGATACCGCGGCTCACGCAGCTCAGCATCGATCCTGCCTTCTCTTCAGGAGATAAAGCTGTGCCCCTGTGGTCGACCCGACCAGACTTCAACACTACCTTGCACGTTCCGCAATTTCCGACCTCACAGCTACTTTCCAAGTCGCCGATGTCACGCTTTATTACCTCCAGAAGTGTTTCCTCTTCGCTTACTTTGAGAACCTTGCCGTCTCGATTTGATACCTCCACCTCGAATGGATCGCCAGTCGTATCAGCAGCAAAAGCCTCGTAGTGGACATCAGTGGCATCAAGGCCACTTTCTTCCGCCGCCTTCTTCGCCGCCTCCATCATACGTGTCGGTCCGCAGACATAGACGTGGCTGTTCCACTTGAGAGTCCCCATGATCTCGCCGATATCCATTCTTTCTCCTTTGGAACCATCATAGATGCGGGCGCTCTTACCAAAGGACTCAAGGCGCGAGAGGAATGGCACATCGTCGGCCGAGCGGATGCCGTAGTGTAACTCAAAATTGTAGTGGACTTTGTGGTAGGCCTCCATGAGCGCCATGAAGGCAGTAATGCCGATCCCGCCGACGATGAAGACGTGGTTGCTAGACGCACTCGCAACCTTCACATCTGTAGTGATCCGACCGACCTTGACGATGTCGCCAACATTGGCAGATTCATGAAACCAACGAGAGCCTCCGCGGCCATTAGCTTCGAGCGCGATGCCCAGTTCGAATCTTTTGGGTTCACCAGAGACGATGGAGTAGGATCGTAGCAGTCCGTTGGGAAGCTTGATCTTCGTATGGGCGCCTTCCATGTCGACCTCGGGTTGAGCATCGCCACTGACAGATTCCAAATTGAATGAAGAAACCCGAGATGTTTCCCTCTTCTTCTCGACAATTTTGTAGTCGCGCCATTCTTCACCCTTTTCCTTCGTCTTTTTCGCCTGGGCCTTCGCTTTGGCTACTCGCCGTTGGAACGCGCCACGACTCTCCTTTCCCATCTCTTCAATTTGCGCCAGCTCTTCGTTCATCTGCAAGTTGCTCTGGTCTCTATGCAGGAACTCCTGCACCCTCTCAATGGTCCATGCTGGCCACTTGCGCTCGATAAGCTTAATCTCGTCGCCGGCCTTGACGGTGCCCTCCTTTAGAACACGGTAGTACCAGCCAGTCCTGCTCGTCCTGTAGGTGTTCGGGGCGAAGTTCTTGAGTTGGAAGCGGTGGTTGAGCTTGAAGCAAGGCTGTCGAGGCAAGCTGACTTGGAGCACGACCTCGTCGCCGACGGCAATGACATCGCCAATGCAGACATTGCGCTCGTTCATGTGCTTAGTGACGAAGTTTTCGCCAAAGCCGCCCGGCTGGAAGCGATCCGCGGCTGCGGGAAATTCAGTCTGCCATCCGGGGTAGTGCGACGAACAATCTGGAGATTGACTGTGAGTTGAATGTGCTATCGCCATGAGAGATGGTAGGTCACTTACATCCGTGGATCGCCTTGTCAACACCTCCGTGAAAGGTCGGGTCGTGCTCGTCATCCTCAAGGCCGAGGAACGAGACTCGAATGGGTCCATTGCGCAGATTCTTGTCTATTCCCGATTCGATCTCTAACCCCGGCATCTTCTTCATGGTGCTTGTCCGGACCTCTAAAAGAGTGTCGCTGACGAAAGGCGCTCTGAGGTCGATTTGCTCTGAGGCACCCATGGCTGCAATTGAATTTTGACTTTCAAGTGCAAATGGGTTTGAGATTCAATTGAGATGTGAGAATGCGTGGGAAGTAACGGAGAGAAGTCGTGGGAAAGGAATTCAAGCTTAGATCTGAATCCTACCCGGCCGGAACGGTCGATGACAGCCAGCCCCAGAACCGTGTCAAAGACGACCTACACACGGTACCCGGCACCGTGAGGCGCGGCGACGGAGTGGGGTATGCGACACTGAAGCATCATCGTCAAAGGGTTGCGGGGTTCCTCTGTGATTACACATTTGGCAGATTCGGGAATTGATGCTCAAATCCCGCGCGGAACTGTGAGTAAAAGCAGTGCTGGAGCACAATACAAAGCTTCTGTCAGTCTGGCCTGTATAACTCATGCCATGCGGACTGGAAACAGGGCGCATGATACTTCTTGATGTTAATGGCGCCCTTCGATGGACCTCAAATCCTTTCGTGAACTTTGATTGTGTAATGTGTGAGCCGTGTCTGCGAAGGAGTAGTTTTGTCATTCCAATGAGATGAATCGGGGCCGACAGGCGTTGGGTCGGTATGCCATAGGGACCTGCCCTTTTCAGCATCCATCTGTAATCAGGGCTAAGCCGACAGGCCTGTTCGGCGCAGGAGGAGGCTTTTGAAGCATGCTGGCCGACTTCGCAGCATAAGCGCCCAACTAGTATATGTACTCAACTATACTGCTTCATACCCACGCTGACGTAGATGCCTAGGTAAGGTAGGCACAGTAGATCATCGATGCATTAGGCCCATAAATCCCGACAGACTGTGGACTCTCCGGCCCGGAGTCCCGCACGGTTACACAGCGGATGGATATGCCGCCATGAGATTTCCTGACGACACTCGAACATAAGGCTGGCAGAAATCCGCTCATTTCGATCACTGAGCTGCAGTAACTTGATATTAATATTCCGGCACATCGCAATGGCAGCGGCTAAATTCCCAACCCTCTCGACGCATGATTCTGCGACCTTTTTGGGCGAACGCGGGATGGTCTTTCACCACCAAGACATCCCGGCGATCTTGCCTGGGCAATGAAATTGCGTAACAACTCGTGCAAATAAGGCAAGTTTTGTCGTTGCAGTTTCAGATACAGGTTGATCGTGATGCTACCGGATTCGTCCCCGACTTAGATCAGTTAAGGCCTCCATGCAACTCCAAAGTTGAGGCATCTCTCCCCGAAGATGCTTTCTCATGAGCGCAACTTTGCGCCTGACCACTAGGTATTTGGGCCTAAAGTAGCACAGCCCATATGACAGGTGAAGGGGGCGTCAAGCCCCTCATTTCAACTCCGGTATTATGCACTTTGAGCTGTCGGTCCAGTGCCTCCAGGAGGGGTGCAAAGCTCGGCCCGAGTTAACTAGCAAAGATGACGATGAGCTATCGAGAGAGACGGGAACGATGACTGCAGCCTCCATTTGTGCTCCGTTCGATACCTTGTGAAAACGTCACTTGACATGTTCTTTAGCGTCAAGCATCGTCGGGCACCGATCAGCGAATGGAGTCACGCCACATAGTTGTCCCCTAGGGAGGAAACAATCAGCTTTGAGCAAGTTCAGCCAGCCACGGGTCAGACAGTGACGGTCAATCACGAGGTTTGCTTGGATATGGCTTGAAAATTCTTCAAGTCCCCGCTGATGAGGCTCTTACCCCCTGCCAATTGCGTAGGTTGAAGCAGACCCTCACGGCCACATCACTATGATAGGATATGCGACATCATCCTTTGGAGCCTCAAAGCCTCGCTGGACAACATTGCAGGGTCCTTTTTTGGACTAGCGCGTGCACTTGCAATCGGGCACAGGCTGTGGAATTTCGGGCGACGCTGACAGTCATTTCGCCATCGGACCTGGATCAAGGCTTCCTGAACTGATTTGGCAACAGATGATCTAGAAACTGCAGTTGAAGAAGCAGTAATACGGCGGGAACCGAGGGGAATTTAACGCCTCTTCTCGCAGCAATGCGAATAGCGAGCCGTGGCGAACACTGCGGGCGGGGCGAGATTTCAATGATTGATGTTGTATGGTCTCGTTCAGTGAGAGAATGACGATGGGGAGCGGCTCTGCTGAATTTTAGCCCTAGAAAATCTGACCATGATGTGATTGGTTACATGACGCATGGGTAATCCGATGCAGGGGTATCCTCGTTTGAAGTGGATGATCAAAGACTGGGTATTCGTACACAGTGGATGAAATACACAGTAGTGCCTCGCCTTATTTCGAACAACCAACAGCAACACCACTGCGAGAGATGCAGGGAATAATCGATAGACCGACCCATCAAGCAGGCTGAGCAGAGCCTCATTCCCGCTAGAAAATTGGGGGTTGATTGTCACACATTGCAGGCCAAGTGAGATCCATAGTTTCTTTCCAAGGAAAAGCTTCTTCCTCGAGTCTGGTATTCTGTGTATCTTCCCAGCCACCGGATTCGGATGAGGGAACCCTTTGGTCCGAGACAATGCGGCTCTGCTCTGCTGCTTTCCGGAAAAGCGCAATTTCTCATCACGCAAGCTCCTCATTTCAATGTCTTGCAATTAAGAACTCAGATGTCTCTCAAGAGCAAGGCTATGGGTTGAGAGGGAGGGGGGAATAAGGGGGGTGCGGGGTGCCGGAAAGGGGGACGTCCCAGCCTTCTGTCCTTGCTGCATGTTTGAGGCTCTGTGGAAGGTATCAAAGGTATCTTGTGTAGATATAAAGCAGAACGATGCGTTTCCCCATGGGAAGGAGCACCTCATGCATGTAGTCCTGGTCGCCTTACCAACCTAGGTACTTCATGCACCAAGTCGCCTGATACCTTGCTATTCTCTTCCGCGTGTGGTACACCACATTCTTCACCTGGTACAAGTTATTACTCTGCCTTATGTCGTCGTGCGAACCACCTGACAACTTCTTTCATTTTGCTCGGATGGTCTCTGGACGGGTTTACGGCAGCCATCGAATTTGCGAGGATGCAACGGCTGCCTATCGAGATAATGACCTACATCACCAATCCTCTAGGTTTACATGACATATTCAACCTCGCTCTTACTTGTCGACAATTCAGCTACTTGATCACTAATGACGATATCTGTAAGATCGCACTTGAGGTAGCGCTGAAAAACTCACCGTCTGAGATGTTTCGAAGTGCCCTGCTGACTTGGTGGCTTAGACTCACGCATCGTATTCAGCTGAGCTCCGGGTTATCCGCTCATCTAAGCAATATGCTCGCGGCTTTCGCCGACTGGTCAAAATCCGAGATGCCATCGCCACAGCCACGCCCTACTCAGTAGCCGTTGTGGCCTGCGCCAATGACTTTATCTACTGCAACGGCATGCTCTGCTATACTGTCGGCCCCGAACGGCTCCGTATTCTCGATCTCCATAATTCTGGATCTGTGGAGATGGTCATCGATACGGCCGCATTACTTCGATCCGTTCCAGATGAGAATCTTGGCAACAATAGCTACAAGTTTCGCCCCATACACTACGCCGAGGGTATAGTGTCATGCCTCTATACTCCGCCCAAAATCGAAGGTCGCAGCCGTCTTCTCGTGCTGAACTTGCACGAGAGGAAGCTGCTCACATGTCATCGTCTCGAATCGCACCAAAAGCTGTTCGTGCGCAACACCCAGAATTACTTATATTACGGAACTCATTCCTTTGTCGGGGATGATGGCTTCAAGCGATGGGTACTGAAGCAATTCAGCATCAGAGATCAACAATGGGGCTCTGGTCACTTGGACTTGGAGGACATCGTTGGCTCAGACATTGGAGCTACGGTGTGCTTCGAGATCATAGATGATTATTTTTATGGCCTGTCAAGTCTGTCAAGTTTTGACGTATATGAAACGGACTGGACCTCATATTACCTTGGGTTCCGCTTTCCGGTTGGTAGCTCACGCCCGCGAGACATGCAGCTGACATCGAAGAAGAAAATGTGGCGCCGTCAGCATCAAGAGGGACCAATCGACGACAGATGGAGCACTCTGAGTCTCGAGAAGGATCCAGTCGGGGGAAACCTCATGGCTGTCGAATGCCGACGGGAATACCTTGTCGGCGACTGTTCGAGCACCCGAACCAGTTACCGGACAGATCTCAACTTTGGCGGCAGCGACGACTCTGACAGTGATCAATCTGATTACGAGTATGACGCGGATGAAATGGAGCATCCATCTGATTCTACGTCTGCAGCCGCCAAAACCACACCAAGTCGAGACCCATCGACAGTTCACCGAGGCGATGATGGGTCAACTATCCCAGCAGCCACTTTTACACACTGTTTTATACGTTCTTACCACCCATCTTGCGAAACGTTTATGGATCTCATCAACGATCCTGCTGCCAGCGAGACCATGATACAAAGACCACAAATACGTTCAATATCCCGCTCTATGCCGGCCGGCCGTCAGCAGAGCTCTGATAAGGCCAGTGAGGTCTCCTGTTGGCCACAAAGTTTGGGTACAGAGAAGCGGGGTTCATCTTGTGAAGCTCTGGGCAACATTCTCAACCCGAGGGGTAAACAATTCCACGGTCCAATTTCAGGGGCGATGGACGATCGGTCCATTGTTTACGCTGTCGGCCAACCCAGTCACCACAGCACACGGCCTCTTGTCTTCATCTCTTTTGACCCCTCTATTAGGCTTGGTGGGCTCACTTGCTGGCCTGGCGGTCCAACAGGACCGCCCCTGGTTCTGCAGAAGCCACGATCTTGTGAGGCCAGCTCAATGGGATGCTATCCAACCCCGCAGTCGATGCCAGACTCAGCACCGACATCTCGAAATGCATCTTTTAGCGAAGGATGCATGTCAGACAAGAAGGAGGCCGCGTGGGGTAGCATAACCCCGGCCATGTACTCGGACAGCCTGCGAAATATCGGAACACCTACTGGCTTCAATTTTGCATATTGCGGCGATCATTGACATCCTTACCGGCGCTGCTGATCAGACAGCCGATACTTGCATCTCGACTGACCGGTCTAGACACTTCAACGTTGTTTTCACATGGTCG